AAAATCCATCCATTCATGACTGAGATCCGGTTCCGGAATTGTGAAAATACGCGATTTTGATGCATTTTCGGCCTTAAAATGGCCATCATTCAGCTATTGTTAAGCAGATCATGAAACAAATGCACATATCTATTTGTGACATGATGTACCATGTGTGTGTGAAGTTTGAACTTGATCAATCCAGACATGTCTCGGATACAGATCCAGAACTGAATTCTTTAAAACAAAATGGCCGCCAGTGCCATTTCGAACTAGATGCCCAAAAAAAATGACGTGCATCAAGGTCTTATTATGTTTAATGTATGTACCAAATTTCAACAAAATCCGTCCATGCATAACTGAGATCCGGGTCTGGAATGGTGAAAATGTGCGATTTCAATGCATTTTCGGCCTTAAAGCGACCGCCATTTGGCCATCGTTAATGAGATCATGAAACAAATGCACATACAAATTTGTGACATGATGTACCTTGTGTGTGTGAAGTTTGAACTCGATCAATCCAGGCATGTCTCAGATACGGATCCAGAATTGAAATTTTTAAAACAAAATGAACGCCAGTCGGCCATTTCGAACTTGATCCGAATAAAAAAATGACGTGCATCAAGGTCCTATTATGTTTAATGTATGTACCAAATTTGAACAAAATCCGTCCATGCATAACTGAGATCCGGGTCCGGAATGGTGAAAATGTGCGATTTCAATGCATTTTCGGCTTTAAAGTGACCGCCATTTGGCTATCGTTAATGAGATCATGAAACAAATGCACATACAAATTTGTGACATGATGTACCTTGTGTGTGTGAAGTTTGAACTCGAGATATGGATCCAGAACTGAATTTTTTAAAACAAAATGGCCGCCAGTCGGCCATTTCAAACCCGATGCCCCCCCCCCAAAAAAAGACGTGCATCAAGGTCCTATTATGTTTAATGTATGTACCAAATTTGAACAAAATCCGTTCATGCATAACTGAAATCCGGGTCCGGAATGGTGAAAATGTGCAATTTTGATGCATTTTCGGCCTTAAAATGGCCGCTATTCGGCTATCGTTAATCGGATCATGAAAAAAATGCATGTGCATATGTCCCATATAATGTGTGATGTATGAGTAAAGTTTGAACTTAATCGGTCCATACATGTTCGAGATACAGGTGATCACGGACGCACACAGGGCAAAACATAAGTCCCCGTTTTCGGACTACATCTGTACGGGGACTAAAAACAGTTGATAGACTGTAGCAAAAAGAGATACAGACATCGACAGATTCTTTTCATAGACGTTGGCAACCAGACAAAACATATTTTGTGTGTGTGTGTATGCCAGTTTCTTGGACTTTGTTCAAGATCGCAATAGATCGCAGAACACTTTTAATTTTATACCTACATACCGTACTCGACCGCGTTAGCGCCCATGCCCGGGCAAGCGCCCACCCCCCACTTTTGCGCAATTTTTATATTTGGGGGTCACATTCGGCAAAATGAAACTAATTTAAAACTTGGTCTTGCATAACGAATCTTGGTAATCGTTTTTATATGATACAGCATGGATATCGATCGCTGTGAACATGTTATGAATGCGTAGAACACAGTAACCGTGCGTAAACTACGCTTCGACAATGACCAGTTAATACAAGTAAAATGCGATAAATATTTCATGCCATATTCAGTTTACCTCTCAAAAATGGCTAGTTACTAGTTTTTTGGAAAAACCATGTCGTTTATTCGCTGAAATCAATTTCAACAGATCGTACTTCGACATCGATAATTCACTTCCGCATTGCGTTACCGGAAAGTCTTCGGGAATCATTCTGATTAGTTAATAACCAACTTGACCCATTAGGTCAAAGGACGCTGCTGTAGGTCAAATCTGCAATTGCATCATGCCGGAAAGTGATTTTCATCGAGAGTTTGCGTACGATCCAACAACTTCGTCAGTGGAAATAATATGACAATTTTGACTTCGACTGTGTTCCAACAGACTCAAATGTTTTTAATTCCGGAAATTATGGTGGTACGTAATTAATATTGTAACAAAATGTGCGTATTTTTTGTGATCATTTCTGTTTCTTTATTGTGAAAATCAATGACGACGCAACTAATTTAGGAATTTGATTTTCCCTCAAAGACGCAATCTGTCACTTGATGAATCAAAATTTTCATTTGCACTCTTTTTCGAGGGGGGTGCTCGGGTAAGCGCCCACCCCTACAAAATCGTGATTTTCTGAGTTGAGGCCCCTGGGCGCTAACGCGGTCGAGTACGGTATTTCATCCTCGAAGACTTGCACTGACTGGCAGTGATACTTAAATCTTCTGACAAGAGGTTTATTGCTTTCTGATCCCCAACCCTCAGTTCACTCAACCATCATGTTAGTGATCATTGAATGTATGAGCAAATACTGACCTATACTCTCCTGTGCAGAACTGTCTAAAATTTTCAGCTGTTCTCGGCACTAAATCAGCAAACAGTTCAATTTTTATTCTTCCTATTTCCTGTGAATAAAAAATATTGTCAGTGCAATCATTATATAAAAAGCAAGTGCGACAAGGAATTGTGAACCAACACCTTAATTTCAGTTTCTCTTTGGGAGAAGTCTCACCAAGGTGAACCAGTTTGATTTTTGGAATTCCATTGTGACTACATAAATCAATGCTGTTCGATGGCACACTGATAACCAGGTCAGTGAGATCAGGATGTCAGATCAGGGTCATCATTGGCGCCGGTCGAGGTACGAGTCTTGTATGTGTAAGTGAAAGTGTGTGAGTCACCCCAGTATGGAACATAACCCTCCCACTATTATGGACTTCTTCCCTGTTCAAAAACAATGCCTGTGTGCCCATTTCAAATGATAGAAGAAAAATTACTCCGGTATAGAATATCCATAGACATTGACCATCAATTGACACACTACTACAGGAGGTTAAAGAATCTGTCAGTGACTATTCTTCAACCTGATGTAGTATTGTGTCAATTAATGTTCATTGAAAATACAAATAAATAAAGTGTTTTAGCATGTGCAAGTGAAAGTTTGTGAGTGCAACCCAGTATGGAACATCAACCTTTTCACTATTATTTACTCCTGCCCAGTCAAAAAACAATGTGTATGCCCATTTAAATGTTTGTCATAACTTGAAACAAAGGCATTACATTTTGGTCAGATTGGTTTTAAATGGCAAGTACTAAACACATTGAATTATCAAATACATACACAAGGACACTTCCTAAAATGATATAAATGAGCAACAATTGGATGAAAAATCTGTATCTCAAATTCCATTGCTAATAAAAAATGCATTCTTATCTTGTTGTGGATTGTCTGTAGTTGATAAAACTGTTGATAGAAAGGTTTTTTTTTTCGAACTGGTGAATATCTGACTTCATCCTTGCCCAAAATAATATTGATAAATTTGAATAACAACCGAAATGATAAATGTTTGCCAGGTGTCAATGGGTGCTAAAGAGTCAGTCTGAAATAACTGTTCTTGAACAAGGTTGCAAAAATCTTTTTTCTGTACCATGAGCTGATGTACATGTGAATATGTACATATTATATAAATGTAGTCCGACACTTAACACTGGGAGAAATAAATAATTTTTTTTGTTAGCTGAACGATGTATTTAAAAGTGGTATTTTCGTCCTAAAAACTAGAGCCCTAGAACGAGGTTGTAATGACGGTAGATGCAAATTGCGTGCGACTTTGTGAGATTTTGGGTCTCAGAATTATATTTGAGCGTGCACTTGTTCAAAATGGCAGAAATGTAGCAATTACTGGCGAATAAAATCAACTTCGAATTTTAGGCAAGCTGTCGGAATACTAGGCAAGTATAACGTCATGGTCATAGCTCACCCGACCTCCCACCGTTAGACACTTAGTAAAAATTCGAAAGAAGAGTGTTTTTGCTTTTGTTTGATACCGTATTTGCCATAATGCCCGTCGCTATTTACCCATAATTTGTGAATTTCACATAAGCGTCTGATAACCGGGCCGGGGAGTGTACACAGAACGTGGACCGATGATTTTGGATTGAGATGCCTTGAAATGACAACTTGTAGTGGTTAAATACTTCGGCATGGTCACGCTTTCTCTTATATACGCCATCAAAATTGCTGCAGTATAATAACCTTTGTCAGCTATTGGGAGCCTCTAACACTGTACCAAGGCATCAAATCCGTTTTCCCAAATAAGTCTATAGCTGGCGGTAACTATCACAAAGCCAAGCCACTCGTCGAGTCGATCGACACACACACGTGCTTGTTATTATAAGCTTTCGAAACAGCGATACGTACTCAGAGGTCGCAATTGATGTCACGAATAGTGACCAATTCACGGAAGTTATCAGAGTTACGGTATACATACCTGACCACCAACAGACACGTCAAAAAATATGACTGGGTTATCAGGATTCGTATGACCGGGCGCTGCCATTTTAAATGTCGTGACATGCGCAGTCGGTACTCACTGTAGCTAAAAAACGAGTAATTTGATTGGATGATTACGAATTGATAGTGTTCAGAGAGTTTGTCTTACCCGTTGTACATATCTCTCAAAATAGCAGTATGAACACAGACACATATCGATGCATTGCTTATAACAGATGACAATTGTATTTTTAAGTAGCAAAACTTGCTTAAACATATACTAACTTAACAGTAAGCTCACATAACGGCTACAGCCATTGGCCATTCAGCATCAAGCTTTCATTGACCATAACAACATATTTTATTTGCCGAAAGGTCGACGTTGTTTTTGGTAGCGGAAACTGTTTACTCCTGAGAGGGAAGGTGGTCGTTAAAAGTAGCCCAGTAAGTTCATAATCTTAGATCCACCGGAAATTAATAGCTGTGTGAGTAGCCAAGAATTTATATTTTTGATTAATAATTTCTAATTGAAGGACGATCGAGTGAATAATGTACATGTACTTTAAATATTTTTGTTGTTTTCGTAAGTTCCATACAACATACCGGGACCCTGTCGTACAGGCGAAATAGACAGGCGAATCACGGATAAACACGAATCATATACTTGTTCTTAACTGTAAAGTTACTGTTTCACCACAATTTTACCTTCTAGCTAGATGTCTGATTTTCCTATTGAGCGCAAGTTTCGAGTGAAAAAAATTAATATTATATATTTGAATTCACAACAGCACTTAAGTTTCATTTACAATCGCTTAAAAAAAAACGAAAATAAAAACACATCAAAGATGATTTCCATAGAGTCATGTCATCAAATAAAATATAAACATATAAAAATAGATATTGAAAGTATAGTTTTATTTTGTTTTATTACATTCAAAATCAAAGATAGGTCATATCTTATATGGTATTCTTCGTTATTGGACCAATGACTTTGAATACATAGTATACTGTGTAAATGTTAATATTTAGTATATGGGCTGGGGTCCTGAATACGAATATATATATACCGGTAACAACAACTGTCACTACTTTCTCAATCTTGCAGTTGAAGTAAAGATTTTGTCAGTAGAGATGAGTATTTTTGTTAGATCAGCTGTCTTTCCTACGCTTGTGAATTGTTTGTTTCAGCGTACTCGTAAATTGAATCAAAAGTCAAGTCAGTGTGATTCTTTAAATATTATCACACCTTTTTATATCATCTATTATTACACATCTGTTGCTGTATCTCCATTAATTACAAAATGTCATAATTTTTTTTGAGTATAGCACAGGGTATCTTGATCCTACTTAATTAGGAAATACTAACCCTAAATAATGAAAGTTTATGCAGTATTTCCATATGAAAAACATAAAGTTCATATCGAGAAAGTTTTCACTATTTTGGTCAGTCAATTCAGAGCTTTCTTTCAAGAAGTGATTGCCTCAACTTTCGCTATGTTTCAGTCAATACTCTCGCTGTACTGTCTTTGTGCATTATTTGCAGTATCCTTGTAATAACGTCATAATATTCAAGGCTTGACACTACCGGTAAGGGTAGTCCAATAGCCCGGGACGTGAAAAAATAGCCATTCTGACAAATAGTAACTCACTTGCCTTAACAGACTATAGTAAATATAAAATCTACATGTATTTTGGACAAGTGAATTTAAAGTTTATTTCAAGCCCTGAATATAACATTACATGTACTTTTCTGTTCTAAAATGCCAATCACTCTTAAAGTATAATCTTTGAGTGAAAGCTAAACTTGTTATTAATGAATCACACAGTATTTTGGGGTTTCATATAACATTAGTATTTCAACACACTTTATACACATGGATGTCTCATTTCAGTGCATGTAATAGACGAATGATTTGTGACATTGTCTATCTTTGTTTTTAGTTCTATTGTATTTGTCTTTCATTTATATTTCAGTTTTGTATCTAATTGTCCATATAATGCTGTGCTGTTGTTGTTGTTGTTGAGGAATCTGAATATGGCTTCTAAAAAGACAGGAGTGACGGATTCTGTTGTTGCATTTGAAGATGAATTGAATAGCATTGTTAAAGAAGTAAGTAGTTTCAGTTTGTGAAAACACTATCATTTTATTTACACCAATGTGTCGTCTAAGTCAGTTGAATGCACATGTTTTGTTTGACTCAAAAGTTGTTGAATCGGAGTTTCACACTTTTTTAAGTTACATTTAGTCATTTTGAATGGGAGGGGCAGAATTTGAATCACGACTCTTTTCCTAGTGTGAATCTAGTTAATAGCCACAAATCTAATTTCATCCCATCCGATAAACGTAATTAAAAGAAATGTGTCCAAACTTGTTATGCTGTAGATATATAACAATTAGGCAGGAAAAATAATCATTAACCAAATTTTGATCTTCCTTAATACACAACGATATTAAACTTAAACTTGCATTTCCCCTTTGTGTTATATACAGAACACCTCCCACTGAATCCTAAAATTATGGAGCACTAAAGCTGGTCTGCACTGAAAGTTGTGGTGTTTAACAATTACCGGTACATGGCATTCTAAGTTCTGTTTGATAAGATTTATCACCAATCGTTCAAAATCCAAAGTCCTTATGATAATTACAGGGGTTAGTGAGAGATTTTCTACAGTAGGAATGCAAATTTAAGAAATGTGTCCATACATGCATGTTATGATAGGCTTGGTTTCCAGTCTGTGTTTTCACTTTTGCTGTACTGTTCATTGTCCAGTTTATGAATATTGCCCTCAATGGTATTTGTTTGAAATATACACTGGACATGTGCTGGAGAAATTTGAACTTCCAGTGTCAAATAATATATAAATAGTTGATGCATCTGTGTAGCCAACAAAACACTGCTAAAAGTTATTTGCAGTAATATCGTTGATCTTCACTTCTTGCCCAAGTTTGTCTTGTCCCTCACTGCAAGTGGCTCACTGGACACCAAAGGTATCTGGAATTGAGTCAAAGCTTATGATTTATATGTCAACAATCATAATACATGTATCAGGGTTGAAAAAAATTGTTGTCAACTTTTTACTCCTTTGACTTCTTCTTGAAAACTTGGTACAAATGTATATTTGTACCTTGGGTAGATTGTCCAATTGCTTTGATATTACATATATAAGTACCTCAGGTAGACCTCTCTCAGATTTGTTCATTTTGTGATATTTTCAATTCTCTAATTTCATGAATATTTTTGTCATTTTTGGTAAAAAGTGATATTTTCTATTTGATGTAAAAATCTGCAAGTCTGATTGCTTTGATACTATACATATAGGTACCTCAGATGGACCTCTCTCTGATCTGTTCATTTTGTGATGATATCTTCAATTCTCTAATTTTGATGAATACTTTTGTCATTTTTGGTAAAAAGAGATATTTTCGAATTCTTGTTTAAAACAGCAAGTCTGATTGCTTCGGTACTACCTATACCTATTGTTCATTTTTTAATGATATCTTCAGTTCTAATTGAAATGTGCATTGCTAACAGCGGAGCTATTTCAGCCGACAGGCTGCTTGTTTAAATATAGAACTGACATAGAAAAATGCTCTGTGCATGAATCATGATTAAATGCTCAAACAATAAAGATATGTCATAATGAGAATTTCTCCACTTTAATCATTTAGATTTCTAGCACACCAAGATAGCTATTGCTCTCACGTTGGTTTGTTGGTTTGCTTCTCGAAGCATCACAGTGAAGAAAATTATATTTCGCAGGTTTTTGGGGCATCACAGCGATCCATTGAGAAATGGTTCTTGCTCCTATGTGCATTGTACTTATTTCTTTTGGTTACATCTTAAAAATCCTTTGACCAATGTTGATGAAACTTGGCATGGAGAATCTTTTCAGTCAACTGAATATTTGATCAAGGTTTGGTGCAATTACATAGTCATTAAGTTGTTTTGTTTCAAATTTTTAATTTTTTTTAAACGATTCTCTTTTTAGAAGGAACTCCTACAATGCAGCAGACTGTATGACTATTATTCAACATTTGTATGAATGGCGTAATGATGATAAAGTGAAAAATTGATTCAAGAACTGAAACAACATTTGACTCATTTCATCACAACATTTACATGTTTATAGTTAACAATACTAATAATGTTTTCTTGCAGTATCTTGAATTTTGTAATTATGGTAGAACTGTTAACTCATTTGATACTGAAACCAAGGAAAGAGGAAAGATAGTGAAAAGTCGCCCAAGACCACAATGGAACAAACAGAAACTTGACATTCAGGTATAATAGATTTAGAATTACTTTTTGATGGAATTTATTTTTGCTGAAGGGGAAAGTCAGCGAAAAATACATATTCCCCACTTGTTTCCAGGTCATTTTATGAAAATAAATTACTTTAGTCTACCCGAATTGCTGTTTTTAGCATAATGATTTTCAGTTAAAATAAGAGAATTCATGGTATTAATGCTTCATCTTTTATGCCTGCTGAAAAATTCTGTAGATAAACAAAATAAATGGGAAAAGAAGTCAACCTTAGACAGTTTGTTAAGGTAGAAGCCCACTCATGAATTATAATACCCAGAATTTATTCATTTTTCAATAAACTGTACTCCAAGGCAATATAAGAATATTGACCTAAAAAAAGTTTGGGGTCACGAGCCTTTTTTTCGAGAAATTGATGGTTGTATTTTAGTAGAAAGTCTCCATTTTGACACTATTATAACACTTTTACCACATGTTTCTATGGCAGAGAAATATCTCAAAATCTAGCCTGGTGACATAGGCTGAAAAAAATCATATATTGTTAATGATGGAGTATGTTTTGTTATTCTGAATTATTTAAAAAATCTGGGTTTTAAAAAGTGTCAAAAAATGCAATTTTTCTTCAACATTGTGTTCTATGGAATTGTTCTAAATATAGCAATTTTCAAGATATAGGACACATTTCTCAAAAAGCTTAACTGTAACACACAAAATAATGCTATTTTATTGTACCATGGGATATTACTTTCATGATTGTACATAATAAACTAATGAACATTGTCATGCGATTTATGACCAATTTTATCAAAAATTTTGACTAGGCTTCTATCTTAATGTGAAAATCAGTGGTTTGTTGGTGTGCTGATGTCCTTTTTCCCTTTTGTGTCATTTTCACTGGATACAATAACGTCTAGAGGGTGATTACTTTTAATACTCATTACATTGGTGACCTAAATATTGTATGTTTAACTTTGATTAATTTTATTTTCTAGTCTGATATCCTCAATATGTTTCAACTTGGTGCGAGGAGGGAATTCTTCAAACTTTGGGATGACAATGTGCCTGAGAAGATCCGGAATAATGACCCTGTTTGCAAGAAACTAGAGTTTTATATTAGTATATACTTTGCTATATATCCCATCAAATATTCATTAATTACTGGAAATGAGGTGAGTGTACAAGTTAAAAAAAGGATAATATTATGTAAAAATTGCTGTGAAACCCCAATTCCTGACATCTGAACTATTTGTTATTGTTTCTGAATCATTGTTTTTCGATGTCTTCGTTGTGTTACAGCCAAATAAAACAAAGACAGAAGAGGCCATGCAGGAATTCAAGACATTTTTAGAAACAAGAGGAGCGTCTTTGAGCCAAACTACAGAATTTCTTCCTTTTTATGCATTACCGTTTGTACCAAATCCTGCTCATCATCCGTCATTCAAAGAGCTATTTCAAGACAGCTGGGTGCCAGATTTACAGATGAGATTGGAGAAATTTCTCACCTTGGCATTGAAATCTCATCCACAGCCAAAGTTATTTGAAATTTATGTATCCTTTGAAAAAAACATTGTATTTCAAAGTTGCGCTCCCACTTTGTATGATCTGCAGAATACCTCTGTGTTTTTGGTTTTGTACAATTCTTGAGAAATCATATCCAACAGATTAATTTGGGTTGCACTCCTACAATAGAGTAAGTTCTGAATACATCAAAATGTCTACATGCAAATAATCTAGAGTGATTACAATAATAAAACGTATGTTTAATTTAAAGGGCGATAGTCATCGTGCATGTGCGACATTTGTGTTGATAAACATTGATTTTCCCACACTTTGCCATGGGCGCCACTTGCACTAATTACCACTGACGACTCCTTTGATTCCTATAAAATCAAATTAAAGCTTGGTAACCTCTTAGTTTGTACTCGTTGGTCTGCGCAACAGTCAAAGTCGCCATCTTCGTTTATATCAGACCCATATCTGGCCCATGCGTGGTGCGACGACTACCGCCCTTTAAGGAATACCTAGACACTGTTACCAATTAAACGTGATGTTTCTGTGAATCTAAATCTATCCCCAGTGTTCCAATATTTCAGGATTTGTTGCCAAACAAATTCATTATATCATTTCCCATGTTCCTCATTGGTATAAAAGTAGGTGGTCTACATGTTATACAAAGTAGGAATGCAACTTTTAAAGTGTACATATTTCTATAGCAATCATCTTACAGTGACAACGTACAGGGACTATGTCAATTCACTACGTTCAATTACCCACCATAGACTCCGGTCAGTCAAAATGACTATTTTGAACTGTAGGCATTAATCAGCGATTCTGCCGGTGACGGAGAGATAGAATCTAGGTCAGGGAAGCCCCATGACCTCAAGATTCTTTTACCCCTTACGTCACGAACCCACGTGACCTGAGGCCACATGGCAACGCCATAGGTAGCCGTCCATCACTCTTAATTTCTCTCCGCCGAGTGGAGATGAAATCTAGCGAGCTCTGCTGGATCGCCTGCTTTTTTTTCCTGTCCGGATTTATAGCTTGAGTTGTTGCCGCTGCACGGCATTCGACATTGTAGCTGGTAGGATAAGTTTTCCTTGTCATTTTTACCCTTGTGTCGTTTTCCCCTTTATGTGTAGTATTTTTCACAACAAAGAAATTAAAATCCGGCGCCACTACGTAAGCAGTTGGTTTTCATGGCGGCACCTTTTACAACTGTAATTCGTTCCCCTCGTGCATGTCGTCTTTTATTTTCAATGTATTTAGCAATATATAGATGTAATGACAGCACCAGGGCTCGCTGCCGTTTTCTTTCCGGTCTCCTCGTGTTTCGAGTCGACCGTGCAGTGGTTATATTCAGAATTTACCAGCATAGAACCCGCATCCGAGATACTTTGTC